AGAGGCCCAGGTTTGGTTCCTGCTAAGGGCACGTCCCTCGGTTGCAGTCTGTCACCAGACCCGGTTGGGGTCATGTGGGTGGCAACCACTTGATGTGTCTCTCTGACATCAATGCTTCTCTCTCTCCCTTCCCTCTCTCCCTCCCGCTCTATCTGAAGATAAATGCAAAAATTTCCTAGGGTGAGGATAAAAAAAGAAAATGCAGATGGTTGCCGAATCCTCCCTTATTCTAAACAGTAAGGTCACTTAAAGATCAGTTTTCTCTCAGCCTCTCCTAGGCTCCTTGCCTGGGCAACCCTATGAGGCTGTCTCAGACTGTCTGAACACAACACTCAACCATTTTTAATCTGTGGTGCTGCCACTACACTGAGTTCTGTTTGTGAATGGGGGTGTTGATTCTGTTGTTCTCAATCCTACAGACTGATTTGGGGCTCTGTTGCTCCCCACACACCTGGGCTCAGCTTTGAGTGAACAGGGGAGAGGTAGTCACAGTGTATGGGGTTCCCTCTTAGGAGCTGTAACAGGCGTAGATTATTTTAACTTCAAATAACAGAAATCCTAATCAACAGTGGTTAAAACAATTATCTCACACAATCAGAGGTCTGGAGATGCAGGCCAGGATTAGCATAGCAGCTCAACTATATAACCAAGAATTCATCTTTGTGCCATACTTCCACTTTGTTTCCCTTAGTGGTTGGCTTTTATCATTGTGTTTGTCACCACTGTGCTTGTCATGTTCACAAGATGACTGCCACATCTCCAGGTGTCACATCCAGTGTCAATATGGGAAAAGGAGTAGCGCCAACTATGTTCCATTCTATCAGAAAGGCAAAAGTTTTCTTAGAATCCCCCCTCCCCAAATTTTCCCTATACCACATTGTTCAGAAGTATGTCATACATGCCCAGAGCTATAAGTGAGACTAGGAAAATGAGCATATGAATTTCTAGCCTCTGAAGTTGAAGGTAGCAAGGAAACAGGGTTGAGAGTATTACTGAGTTACCCAACTACTGATATGTAGCATAAGAATCCATGTATATCTAAGTTCTCACTTTTCTTCTATCTACATCCTCCACAGTCCTAGAAAATTTAAAATAGTCTCTCTAGAACAAATATTTAGTTGGCTTACTCAATATCCATTTAACAATCACTTTCTCCATTGCTTTCATCTAGTCTATAGGTTAGAGATATCTAAATGCTTGATTTCTTACCTTCTCTTGCTTCTAAGGGTAGTCATGTGACCTGGTTCTAGTCAATTTGATGTCTATGTGGCTTCCATTCCCAAATAAAAAAGGCAAAGACTCACTTACTAAGGGAAGTTTTTTCTTTTTTCCAATTCTTTTTTCTTTATTGATTTTAGAGAGAGAATGGGAGAAGGAGAGAGAGAGAGAGAGAGAGAGAGAGAGAGAGAGAGAGAGAGAGAGACATCAATGAGAGAGAACATTGACTGGCCACCTCCTGCATGCCCCCCATGAGGGGTCAGGCCCACAACTTGGGCATGTCCCTGACCGGGAATCAAACTGGTGACTTCTTGGTGCATGGGTTGATGCTCAACCACTAAGCCACACAGGCCAGGCAAGGCAAGGACAGTTTTTTTATCTTTGTCATTCCTATCTTCCTGTGTGGAACACAGTCTTGATGCCTAAAGGTGCAGCCACCATTTTGTGACTGTGAGGAGACAAACATAAGGACACTGAGATGATAAAACAATCAAACAAAAAATGAATTTGTGACATAATAACAGTGGATCCACTGCATCAGATCTGGAGAGTGTACCTGTGAAATTTCCATACAGAACTAATATATCTGTACTTGTTTAATGGTAGAGTTTTCTGCTACTTGTAGCCAAATGTAATTCTTACTTATATAGACAAGAAACAATGTTTTTATATCATCATGTAGTTATTCCAAATCTATTGTCTTGCCAGCACTGTCTCTTAAAAGCTCCCAACTTTCAAAATTCAAAAGCAAAGAAATAATCTCTTTTTTCTAACATTTCGCTGTGTCATAAAATGATACCACATAGTTTTTCCAAATGGGGAAGGGCTATATGAGGTACAGGGAATTATAGGCAGAAATTCCTTGATAAATATTACAAAATATGTTTCACCATAGTTACAAGTACACAGAAACCCACCCAAATTAAGCCAAGGCAGAAAGAGAATCTGTTGGCTGAATGTAAGTGTATCTCATGGACCTAAGGCTAGGAAGTATAGTTGAATCTCATTGCGGACTATAAACAGGAACAGGAGGGCTATTATGAACCAGTGCACTTGTTCTCCCTTCCCTGTCTGTACACATGATCGCATATGGTCGGCTTTCTTCTCTCATGGCATTGGCTTTTTCTGCTTTTGTGTGCACAGCCTTATGATTGCAAATGCAAACTAAGATTGAGTAATATCTTTTATTTAAAAACAAAACCCTGGAGAAAGAATCCGTTTTGTTCAATGCCAGTTGCATGCCAACCTTTAATCCAATTAGTGGTCATGGGGATGGGGTCAAATGACTTATGAATTCTTAGGAACTAAGGGAGAATACTCTTTTGAGCAAAGACCTTTTGTGTATGGCAGTGGTTGATGGGGAAGAAACAATAGACACTTTGCTACTCTCCTGATATCCAAATCTTCTGACAGGTAAATCAAATGAATGATTCATTCATTCTACAAACATTGGTCTCACTTGTTCTTCTGTATTCTCTGTTAGAGAACATCAGTACCATTCATCTAGTTGCCCATGTCACAAACTTCTACACAATCATGAATCATCTAGAGCATCATTTTAAATTTAACCTCACAACAATCTTACACATATTATCTATTTCATGGACAAGCAATGCGAAATTTAGAGATGTTAAGTCCAGCTTTCAACATGTCTCTTAGATTACTGCAGTAACCTCCTGTCTTCCTGCCTCTGAACTTGCCTCTCCCATCCATTTTTTTCACCCAGTAATCATAGTAGTATTTTAAAAACATAAATTTTATCATGTTATTTTCCTGCTTAAAACCCTTCTACAGTTCCCTCAGGATAAAATCCAAATTCCTTAACATAGTGTACAAAGCCTTTCATGACCTGAGCAACCCTCGTCTTTACCGACCTCTATCCTCATCTCTCTCTCTCTTTTTAAAATCCTCGAGAGAGAGAGAGAGAGAGAGAAAGAGAGAGAGAGAGAGAGAGAGAGAGAGAGAGAGACAGAGAGAGACAGAGAGAGAGAGAGAGAGAGAAATTGATGTGAGAAAGACACATCAACTGGCTGCATCCTGCACGACCCCGATCAGGGCCAGGGACAAATGACAACCAGGTCTGTGCCCTTGATTGGAATTGAACCTGCACCTCATTGGTCCGGGCCTTGGTCCATTGGAAGATGCTCTAGCTGCTGAGCCAAACTGGCGAGGGCCATCCTCATCTCTTTCAGTCCTGCACTTCACACTCTATGCTCAAGCCACACAGATTATTTGCAGTGATTGATTGCTTCTCACCTCTGTACAACTCTGTAATTGTTCTCCCAGGTGACTCCTATACATTACCTACACTTAGGATTCATCTTAGATGTTACTCTATGTAGAAGCATTCCTTGATTAAATTGGGTGCCTTTTCACTTCTGTATCACTCAGTGCCATTCTCCTATACTTAATATTTATACTGTAATTGTTTAATAACGTACACTGTCTCTTTCACTGTATTATAAAGTGAGTGGAGGAATTATGTCTGGCTCATTGTTGAAAACTCTAAGATTAGTGTAGTGCCTGGCACATAATATGTTCAGTAATATTTGTTAAATGAATAAATCTTTAGTAGAAGTCTGGAAGAACTTGCAAAGCTAACCTGGGGAGAAACAGATATTTAGTATTTCTTGTATTGTGAATAGATTGTTCTGACAGCTATTCTCTTAATCTCTGTTCTTTTGGCCTACAATTTATAATAATGGAGGAGATAAACATTTAAAAAGTGATAAACTCAATTGAAGAAATATATCATAAAGTAATAAGAAAGAGGTATAAAACTAAATGAAGCAATAAGGTTGTGAGATTGGGGGAGAAAAAGCAAGGAACTGAATTTTTTTTCCAGAGCTTACTAAATTGAATGTATTTTGCTGGTAATATCTCATTTAATCCCCACAATAATTCTTTGAGGTTGATATGTTATACCTGTGTTAAAGATAAGGAAATTAAAGATCAGAGTATAACAAAATAAACTGAACGATTATGCAACAAAATCTCTACAGATAGAAATTAAAATCAACCTTAGGAAATATGGAGATATGCAAGGGTAAACCACCCTACACCCTGAATGATCCTTTTTCTGGGTCTGGGTTCCTGTATCAGCTTTGCATCTTTCCTCCCCAAAGCTATTTCTTTCACTCTCTCATCCACTTTGGATGTAGAGATATTGCCTTCCACCAAGATAAATTCCACCTCCTTCCTCAAGCTTTGACTCACTTGTTATTTCTTGAGCAAAACTTGCTTCATTAGACCTGCTTTCCGATTTAGCTACACGTTCTCGAGCCTAGCGAAGCACCCCAACTTCTCTTTCAGGTAATTGCCAACAACACAACGGTAAATATCAACACGAAGCCGATTATCATTGCAGATCACGCGGGGCGGGTGTGTGTGTGTAAAATATTTAACTGTAGCGGTGTTTAAGTGACTATATTCTGCGCAGTGAGAAAACTGAAGTCACTTTCAAGTTCCACCACTTCCACTTTTCAGTCAGGTTAATTTCCTAAACTTTCTAAGTCTCCGTTTTCTTGTTAATGAGAAGAAAACAGGATTCTACTGAGTCTGCTATCTACCTATTCCAGGACTTCTGTGAGGATCAAATGAGATGACGTATATAAAAACGCTTCACAAACATCTGGTGAAACACCGTGAAATGCTTGTAGCTGGCTAGGAAGGAGACTGCCCCAAGTTGGGTTCCTGGGCTGAAGCAACTCAAAGGAGGTTAGTTGCTAGAGAGAGGAAGCCGAGCGTTGCTAGGTGACGTCATTACCCGGCGCCAACCGCGACAGTTTCCGGGCCGGGCTGAAGGCCGCGTTCTGCGCTATGGGGTCTTGGCAGCGTCTGCTGCTCTTTGGTGGGGTGTCGCTTCGGGGAGCTGGCGGGGCCTGTGCCCCACTTGGGGGACGCCGAGCGTTGGTTTGTCGGCGCCAGGTCCGTGGTGCAGCACGGCAGGGGGAGGAGGGCGGGACGGAGATGCTGGCGCGGCAGGGCCGCTAGTGCCCCGGCATTGCCTCCTGCCGGAGGCTCCCAAAGCCTGTCGTGGGCCCCCGCCCACCTGGCGGCCCAGCGAGACCCCAGCCGGCCGGACGTCCCGTTTCCAGGCAGGCCCCCAGTAGGATCAGGCCGAAGTGTGGGGGGACATGAAACAGATGGTTAAAACATGGATGTGTGACCTGCACTTTGTTTTCTTAGTGTTGGTTTATTTAGAAAACAGTTTAAGAAAATACATGGAGGATTTAACTCTGTAAAGAGGCGCTTACTTTACATTTTTAACGCTAGGGTGTCTTGACAGATACATTCCAGCTTAAACAGTGTGTCTCTACGATTGTGATAGATAGCAGTAGGTGAATAGCACTAAATCCCTAGCTAGTAGAAATAAGCAGAATTGGACTGAAAAAGAGAAAGCTTCTAAAATCACGAACTCCGAATTGTTTTTACTTTTACAGCATGATAATGGAGATGGCTTATGTTAATTTTTTTTTTTTTTTTTTAAGTTATCTGGCTCTGAGAATGAGACTCTAAAACAAAGAAGAACACAAGTCATGTCCCGAGGACTTCCAAAGCAGAAACCAATAGAAGGTGTTAAACAAGTTATAGTTGTGGCTTCTGGAAAGGGTGGAGTTGGAAAGTCTACTACAGCAGGTATTATAGGATATTAATTCTGATCTTCATTAGGAAATTATGCACAGTATTAAAATTATACTTTTGTTTTTTACAAAAAGTTAGTATTTGTGAAGTTCCTAATAGCTGGTTACTTAGTATCAGGACTTGGTGAGTGATTAGGAGCTTAAATTTTGGAGTTAGACATAACTAGGTAGATAGTCAGGTCTTTGATTCTTAAACTGAGAAAAAGGTGCCCATCAGATCTTCAGTTTACTTAACTGTAAAATGACAATGAAGATAACCTTTTTCATAGGATGGTTATGTAGATTAAACTAAACACTTAGTCCAGTATCTCCTATATAGTAAGTGCTCGGTATTTGGTTAGTTATTATTTTACTTTTTTTTTTTTAATCCTCACCCAAGGATATTTTTACATTTATCTTCAGACAGAGTGGGAAGGAGGGAGAGAGAGAGAGAGAAAAAAACAACAACATTGGTGTGAGAGAGACACATCTAGTGGTTGCCACCCACACTATCCCAACCAGGGCTGGGACAAACCACAACCAAGGTACGTGTCCTTGGCTGGAATCAAACCTGGGACTCCCTGGTCTGCAGGCCGACGCTCTAACCACTGAGCCACCAGCCAGGGCTGGTTAGTTATTATTTTAAAAACATCTATTGACATTAATACTAAATTATTTCTGTTCTTTGACATCCTTTTCCAGTCTTTTTCCATGTACATACAGTTGTACATGTAGTGGCAATGAGATCATTTAGATTATTTTGACCTTTCTTATTTAATCATAATATAATTTTCCGCATTTATAAAGTCAATATAGATCTACTATTTGAAAATGCTTGAGAAGGTTTAATGTAATTAAGATCTTATAATCTTTATATCTTTTATATTAATGGAGCAGTGTGTGTGTAGTGGTGGTTCTTCTTAACTGAGTATAGATTTCATTGTGACTGAAATGCTGCTTTTAGTACCCATAAAAGAGTGCAACCAGAAATAGAAGAGTTACCGTCCAAGACTAGTAATCAGGTATTCCCAAATTTTTTCAAAAGCAACCTTTTATTTAAAAACAAAAAAATCCAGTATAATAATTTAAAAGGGTAACATCCCTTCTCCCATTCCTACTTAACAAAGTATTACTAATTTGGAGTCATAAAGTTCTCATGTCTTGTCTCACATTCATTTCAATAGGAAAGGCAGCTAATTCAGGTCTTAGCCTATCTTTTTTGCAGTTGATTTTTAAAAATAACTACATTATTATATTTCATTTTGTTAATTTTGGCTTGGTTCTATACTAACAAGATCTTTAAATTTTGATTTTTTTTCAGATTATTAACCTAAAATTGGGGCATATATATATCTTAAAATTATTTTCATTGAAATCAGTGACATTTTTGAAATAAGAAGGGCTAGGTACAGAGTTCTGTGACTGTCACGAGATCGTGTGTCTTGATTTAAAGCCATATTTAGTAACTCTTGGGTCTGGTGATTTTATAGTTGCACAACTAGCTACAAATTCAGCTATATAGTGTTATTACTCAATTTTTCCCCCATTTTTACCTGAAGGTAATTGTAGGAAAGTTTTTCAGATGTTTGAAGAAATTAAGATCTACCAAGTATTATAGTGATGATAAACCCTTAATTTAATAGATAATATATATTATTATTAAAAATGACTAGTGAATGTTCTTAGTGAATTCATGCTATATCCTATACATTTTTGCTTTCCTATGTGCCTACAACCCATATATTTGATATTTTGTTTTACTTATTTATTTATTTAATTTATTTTTAAAATCCTCACCTGAGGACATTTTCCATTTATTTTCAGATAGAGTGGGCTGGAGGGGTAGAGAAAGTGAGAGAGACACATCAATTAGTTGCCTCTTGCACGATCTCCACCAGGGCTGGGGACAAACTGCAACTGAGGTATGTGCCCTTGACCAAATTGAACCTGCGACTCTTTGGTCCGTGGGCTGATGTTCTAACTGCTGAGCCAAACTGGCCAGGGCTGATATTTTGTTTTTAAAATTTAGAAGTGCTTAGTCTTTGGTCCTGGAATCCACCTCTTCTTGTTTTTTGAAAATTCAGAGTACATTTACTTGTTTTTAGTGTTGTGAATAATTATGCATATTCTATGATTGCTTGGACTAAAGGTGGAAGTTATTTTCATGGTGATAGCCAGGGTTTTGTGCAATATCATTTGTTGGGTCTATAGGCTAGTACTTCTTTAAAACTGCTTATTGTTTTTGGTTAGAAGATTATCTATTGCCATGGAATGTGGTAGTATATAAAGAGGTCAATATATGAGAAAATGTATAGTGTATGTCACATAGTAGGTGCTTCAGGAAATTTCCTTCCTTGCTTTTTTTCTTTGTTAACGTTCTACCATTTCTCCTAAACAACTGGCCTATACTTTTTTTTTTATCCTCACCCGAGGACATTTTTTGTTCAGGTAGAGTGGGAGGGAGAGAGAGGAAGAGAGAGAGAGAGAGAAACATCGATGTGAAAGGGACAGATCGAGTGGCTGCCACCCCCACGACCGACCAGGGCCGGGGACAAACTGCAACCAAGGTACATGCCCTTAGCGGGAACCGAACCTGGGTCTCTCAGGACCGCAGGCTGATGCTCTAACCGCTGAGCCAAACCGGCCAGGGCTGGCCTATACTTTTTTATAATAGCCCTATCTGCGCACATAAGCCTGAGAAATAGGTTTTATTTCTATGTCACCTTTGGTGTCGTATTTTTTCCCTTATCGATATTTATTCCTGTCCCAAACTATCTGAAAATACTTCCCATTTGAATGTGTATGCTAGAAATATTTTGGATTAGAATGATAACATTTGAGTAATACAGACATGCTCTGTGATTCTATTGTATAAATGTCAGAAGACCCTAACATTAAAATGAATTAATCTCTAAAAATTTATGCTTAAATGTTGGATTATGCTTAACCTATGATGTACCTGAAATTCAGAATTATTTTATAATATATAAAGATTAATTTATCAAGTGCCATGCCTTAGGCTAAGTACTTTACATACAGTATTTCATTTTTTTTTTTAATCCTCATCCAAGGACATTCTTGCATTTATCTTCAGATAGAGCTAGAGGGAAAGAGGAAGGAAGAGAGAGAGAGAGAGAGAGAAACATCGACTTGAGAGAGACACATCAACTGGTTGCCACTCACACAACCCCAATTGGGGCCGGAGACAAACCGCAACCGAGGTACGTGCCCTTAGTGGGAACCAAACCCGGGTCTCTCTGATTGGCGGGCTGATACTCTATCCGCTGAGCCAAACCAGCCAGGGCCAGTATTTCATTTAATACTCACAACTGTTATGAAATAGCAATTGCCTTATTTAAAAATTAAAAAAACATATGTCTTTATTGATTTTTTAGAGAGAGGAAGGGAGAGAGAAACACTGATTGGCTGTCTCCTGCACGCCCCCTACTGGGATTAAGCCCACAACCCAGGAATGTACCCTGACCAGGAATTGAACAGAGACGTCTTAGTCCATCGGAGGACTCTCAATCCACTGAGCTACCCCTGCCAATTATCCTTATTTTATAGAGAAGGAAACAGATTTAGGGGTAAAATATCCTACTCAGGATTACACAACAGAAGGTGGTGGAACTGGGATTTGAACCAGGCCTATCCAGAAAGCTAGGTTTTTTTTTTGTTTTTTTTTTATCCTTTTTTTGTACAGATAGAGTGGGAGGGAGAGAGAGGAAGATTGACATGAAAGGGACACATCGAGTGGCTGCCACCCGCACGACCAACCAGGGCCAGGGACAAACTGCAGCCGAGGTACATGCCCTTAGCGGGAACCGAACCCGGGTCTCTCCGGACCGCAGGCCAACGCTCTAACCACTGAGCCAAACTGGCCAGGGCCAGAAAGCTAGGTTTTTAACTACTTTAAAAAAGACAATCTTAGCATCATTTGTAACATTGTTCTGTAAGGAAATGGTATCCATAGTGTTGAGGGTCTATTTATCAGTTATGGAAACATCTTTATTGCTGTTCTAAAGGTGGTTTCAGGCTACTACCTTCCTCCTTGCTAGTCTTGGAATTCATTAGAAATAGACAGTTTTCAGAACATGTTTTACACTTTACCTTTTCTCTTCTTCCTTTTTCTTTGCACAGTGCTTCAGCCTTTCATATACGTAAGTGTGAGTTAGATATTTAGAATTCTTGCATGACCAGCATTTATTTTTAAAAGTCAATAGGATAATACCCATTATTATTTATTAAAAGGTACTTTTTTTGAAAATATGTTTTTGAAAATAATTAAACTATATATACCATTAACATTGTTTTAAAAAAAACTAAGTGGATTGTTTAAACAAAATTGTAACATATTATAAATGGATTATTTGAAATGTTAATAAGTATCTGTTGCTTATGTTGGAATAGTCCTTTTTTTCTTCTTTTTTACTTTCTGAATCCCCTCCATGTCTTTTTATCTTACTAATAAGGGAGATATATTAAGAATTTCTGTGTTTTGGTTATTACATTGAAAATATTAAAATATGAAAAGGCAAAATGAATTTTAGTAGAAGGAAAGTTACTAAATTTAATTACTGTTTTGTTTCTTACAGTGAACCTTGCACTTGCACTAGCAGCGAACGATTCGGTAGGTGTTTATGAATAGAAATATTAATTTATTAAAATGTTTTTTAAGGCAATGATAAAGAACATATTGATGTTTTTCATTTACTCTGTGAGAGGCTATTAGTGTAGTTCTAATCATTTGCATGTCTTTAAGGAATGAAAAAATCTGCTATAATTATTGGTTACATTTAATGACACTAATGAAAATGAAAAGGAACCACTGGTTACAGAAATTAGGCAGCCTCTAGAAGCTAGAAAAGGCAAGGAAATGGATTCTTCTCTAGGGATTCCAAAAGGTATGTAATTTTACCAATATTCTAATATTAGCTCATTGAACCAATTTTGGACTTCTGTGATAATTTCTTACAGTAGAAGGAAGAAACTAGTATAGAGAGGAAGTCAGTTTCTATTTTTAGTACCTTTTTTTCTTCTTTTTTGCTTTTAGAGAGAGAGGAAGGGAGAGGGAGAGAGAAATAGAAACATCAATGAGAAAGAATGTCAATTGGCCGCCTCCTGCAAGCCCCCCACAGGGGATTGGGCCAACAACTTGGGCATGTGCCCTGACTGGGATTTGAACCATGACCTCTTGGTGCATGGGTTGATGCTCAACCACTGAGCCACACCGGCCAAACAGGAAGTCAGTTTCTTAATTCTTGAATTTCCAAGGATGTCTTTATTTTGCCTACATGTTTGATAGCTTGACTAGACATAGAATTCCAGGTTTAAAATAATTTCTTCTCTGAAACTTGAAAACAAAATTCCATTTTTTTCTAGCATGCTAATGAGATGTCTGGTCCTAGTCTGATTCATATTGCTTTATAATAACCTATCTTTTCCCATCAAAGCTTTTAGAGTTTTCTTTGTTTTTTGAGTTTAGAAATGTCACAAATATGCATCTAGTTGTTGGCTTTAAATTTATTCACTTGCTTGGAAATAAGGCAAACACTATCAAAGTTTCTCTCTTCCTTTTTTTTTTTTTTCGGTGTAGGGCAAATTTCTTCATTGATTACTTCTCGTGATATGTTTGTTCTCTCCAGAATCTTACTAGGTAGATATGGACCCTTTATGCTAGTTAATTTTTCTCTCATATTCTCCATCATTTTATCTTTTGTTCTGTGTTTTAGAAGATGTCTTAAACTATTTTCCACACTGCTATATTAGGTTTTAGTTGTTATTTAGTACTTCTGATTTTTTTTTTAATTCAGAAATTACATTTTTTCCAGTTTTTTATAACTGTTTTTTATTTTCCAACTGCTGTCCCTACCCACTTAAAAAATGGTTGTATCATTTATTTGAATCTCTCTGAGAATGCTAATTAGAACTAATAAAAAATGTTCCTTTTAATGATCTCTATTTACTTAGCATGGTGGTTCTCTCATAGAGTCAGCATCACCTAGAAACTTGTTATACATAGACAATCTTGAGCCTCACCCCATACCTACTGAATCAGAAACCCTGAGGGTGCAATCCTGAAATTTGTTTTAACCAGCCCTCTGGGGGATTTTGATGCATGCTAAAGTTTGACAACCATGGATCTAGAGGTTTTTAAAACTCTAATCTGCAAATGACACCCTTTTTTGTTTTCTAATGTGGTTATGTGTTTTATTTAGTTGTAAACTATTTTTTTCTCTTGTTGTTTCAATGGGCATTTGGAAAAGAAGAGAGAAAATCATGTATGTTTAGGCAACCTTACTGAAGTAAGAGCCAGTAATACATTTATTTATTTATTTTTAAAATATATATATATATATTTTATCGTTGAAAGTAATACGGATGTCCCCCCTTTTTTCTCCATTGATCCCTTTCTTCCCACTCCCACCCCCCTCCTGCTTTCCCCCGCCTAATGTCTGTATCCATTGGTTGTGTATATATGCAGGTAAGTTCTTCGGTTTATCTCTTCCCACCCCTTCCATCCCACCTTCCTCTGAGGTTTGTTAGTTTGTTCCCTACTTCCATGACTCTGGATCTCTTTTGGTCAACAGCTTATTTTGTTCATTATATTTCATAAATAATTGAAATCATTTGGTACTTATTGTTCTCTGACTGGCTTATTTCACTTAGCATAATACTCTCCAGGTCCCTCCACGTCTTCTCGAAGGGTAAGAGATCTTTCTTTCTTACAGCTTCATAGTATTCAATTGTGTAAATGTACCACTGCTTTTTTATCCACTCATCTACTGATGGGCGCTTGGGCTGTTTCCAAATCTTATCTATTGTAGACAGGGCTGCTATGAACATAGGGATGCATATATTCTTTCTGATTGGTGTTTCAGGCTTCTTAGGATATATTCCTAGAAGTGGGATCACTGGGTCTAATGGCAGTTCAGTTTTTTAATTTTTTAAGGAAACAGCATATTGTTTTCCACAGTGGCTTCTCCATTCACACCAGCAGTGAGCTAGAGTCCCCTTTTCTCCACATCCTCGCCAGCACTTGTTTGAGGATTTGTTGATGGCGGCCATTCTGGCAGGTGTGAAGTGATATTTCATAGTTGTTTCATTTTACATCTCTGATGATTAGAGTTGAGCATTTTTTCATATGTCTCCTGGCCATTTGTATGTCCTGTTTGGAGAAAGGCCTATTCAGGTCCTTTGCCCATATTTTAATTGGATTGTTTGTCTTCCTTTTGTTGAGTTGTATGAGTACTCTATATATTTTGGATATTAACTCCTTACTTGATGTATCATTGGCAAATATGTTCTCCCAGAGAGTAGGTTCCCTTTTCATTTTGATGCTGGTTTCTTTTGCCATGCAGAAGCTTTTTAGTTTGATATAGTCCCATTTATTAATTTTTTTTCTTTGTTTCTCTTGCCCTAGGCAGTGTATCAGTGAACATTTCACTACGTATGATGTCTGAGATTTTTCTGCCTACATTTTCTTCTAAGATTTTTATGGTTTCATGGATTACTTTTAAGTCTTTTATCCATTTTGAGTTTTCCTGTGTATGGTGTAAGTTGGTGGTCTAGTTTCATTTTTTTGCATGTAGCTGTCCAGTTTTCTGAACACCATTTATTGAAGAGACTGTCTTTTCTCCATTGTATGCTCTTGCCTCCTTTGTCGAATATTAATTGTGCATTCCGTTTCAGGTTGATATCTGGGTTCTCTGTTCTGTTCCATTGATCTATATGCCTGTCCTTGTGACAGTACCAGGCGGTTTTGATTATGAAAGCTTTGTGGTATAACTGGATATCTGGTATTGTGATCCCTCCCAATTTGTTCTTCTTTATCAAGATTGCTGTGGCTATTTGGGGTCTTTTATGGTTCCATATAAACTTTTGGAGTATTTATTCTGGATCTGTGAAATATGCCATTGATCCTTTAATAGGGATTGCATTGAATCGATAGATTGCTTTGGGTAGTATGGATATTTTAATGATGTTAATTATTCCAATCCATGAACATGGTATATGTTTCCATTTTTTTTTTTTTTTAATTAATTAATTTTTTAGAGAGAGAGAAAGGGAGAGGGAGAGAGAGATAGAAACATCAATGAGAGAGAACATTGATTGGCTGCCTCCTGCATGCCTCACACTGGGGGTTTGGCCCACACCTGGGCATGTGCCCTGACTGGGAATTGAACCCGCAACCTCTTGGTGCATGAAGTGATGCTCAGCCACTGAGCCACACCGGCTGGGCTGTTTCCACTTTTTGATATCTTCCTCCGTTTCTTTTTTCAATGTCCTGTAGTTTTCTGTAATCAGGTCTTTTACTTCCTCAGTTAAGTTTATTCCTCGGTATCCTATTTTTTATTGTTGTTGCAGTGGTAAATGGGATTGTTTTTTTAGTTTCCCTTTCTAAGTGTTCATTATTGGTATATAAGAATGCCACTGATTTCTGGATGTTAATTTTGTATCCTGCTACTTTGCCAAATTCATTCATTAAATCTAGTAGATTTCTGATGGAGTCTTTAGGGTTTTCTATGTACAATATCATGTCATCTGCAAATAATGACATTTTCACTTTCTTCTTTCCAGTTTGGATCCCTTTTATTTTTTCTTCTTGTCTAATTGCTGTGGTCAAGACTTCCAATACAGTGTTAAATAAAAATGGCAAAAGTGGATATCCCTGTCTTGTTCCTGTTCTTAAGGGAAATGCTTTTAATTTTTGCCCCTTGAGTATGATGTTGGCTGTAGGTTTTTCATATATGGCCTTTACTATGTTGAGATATGATTTCTCTATTCCCACTTTGCTGAGCGTTTTTATCAGTGATGGGTGCTGGATTCTTTGTCAATGCTTTTTCAGCATCCAATTGATGATATGATCATATGGTTTTTATCTTTCATTTTGTTTATGTGATGTATCACATTTATTGATATGCAAATCTTGTGCCAGCCTAACAACTCTGGGATGAATCCCACTTGGTCATGGTGAATAATTTTTTAATGTATTGTTGGATCCGATTTAATAATATTTTGTTAAGGATTTTGACACCTATATCCATCAGGAATATTGACCTGTAGTTTTCTTTCTTTTCAGTGTCTTTATCTGGTTTTGGAACTAGGATTATTCTGGCCTCATAAAAAGAGTTTAGAAGTCTTCCTTCCTCTTGAATATTTTAGAATAGTTTGAGGAGAATAGGTGTTTGTTCTTCTTTGAATGTTCGGTAAAACTCCCCTGTGAAGCTGGACCCGGGCTTTTATTTGATGGGAGTTTATTGATTGCATCTTCAATTTCCTTAATTGTTATTGGTCTGTTCAAGTTTTCTGTCACTTCCCGGTTCAGTTTTGGGAGACTGTGGGATTCTAGAAATTTGTCCCTTTCACGTAGGTTGTCCAGTTTGTTGGCCTATAATTGCTAATAGTATATTTTCAATAATCCTTTGTATTTCTGTGGTATCAGTTGTTACTTCTTCTCTTTCATTTTTGATTTTGTTTATTTGGGTCCTGTCTCTTTGTTTCTTGTTAAGTCTGGCAATAGGTTCATCAGTCTTGTTTATCTTTTCAAAGAACCAGCTCTTTGTTTCCTTGATCCTTTGAATTGTTTTTTTTTTTTTGTCTCTATGTCATTTATTTCTGCTCTGACCT